TCTCTCAAGTTCACAGCTCACTGTATATAACCTGCCCGGCTCTCCCCTGAACCTCTCCATGTTAGTGATGTAACCAAGGGATACAAGGAAGATCAATCATTTTAAAAATTACTCAGGAGACATCCCGGCAAGATGGAGGAATAGGTGGACGCACTGTACCTCCTCGCACAACCAAGATTAGAACAACAATAATTTACAACAATAATTTACAGATAGAATAACACCCAGAACTGATCGAGGATTTATCTGAATGGAAGTCGGACAGCCAAGAAGTTGAAGTAGACCCGCTCATCTGGACTGGTAGGAGAAGACGAGCCGGGCGGGCGCGGGGCTGGTGCGGGTCGGTGTTGCAGGAAGGTCAGGGAAAGTTTGGCGCGAAATTGGCGCGACAGCCATCCGGGGCACAAGAACGCAGCGGTGATCCCTGAGTAGGCAAGCTGTGGAGGGCGGACCCAGTGGGGCAGCGATTGTGGACCAGGGCAGAACTCGCTGCCCAGGATTCCAAAGAAGGGTCTGGGCCCAGGAGAACGGAACTGCCGCCATTGTTCCCTCCCATCCCCACTCCCGCCCCCGCCCCCACATATAACGTCACAATCTAGCGACTGGGGTGCCCAGCCCCAGTGAACACCTAACACCTAAGGCTCCGCCCCCCACCGTAACAAGAGCAACCAGACCAGGGAAAAAAAAAAGGAGAGACAGGGACAGACATGTTTCCAACAGAGCAGATCAGTCCCCCAGGACTCATCCTATTGAGCGACCAAGAAATAGCCAATCTATCAGATGCACAGTTCAAAACACTGGTGATCAGAAAGCTCACAGAATTGGTTGATTTTGGGTGCAATTTAGATGAAAGGATGCAAGTTACCATAAAAGAGATGCAGGAAGATACGCGGAGGAGAGCCAATAGTGAAAGGAAGGAATCTGAGTCTCAAAACAATAGAGTGGACCAGAAGGAAGATAGAATCAACCAAGCAGGAAAGCATGATGAAATAAGAATTCAAAAAAATCGAGGAAAAGCTTAAGAGCATCCAGGACACCTTTAAACGTTCCAATATCCAAATTATAGGGGTACCAGAATCGGAAGGGGAAAAGCAACAAATTGAGCACGTATTTGAACAAATAGTAAAAGAGAACTTCCCCAATCTGGCAAAGGGAACAGTCTTCCAAGAAATCCAAGAAGCTCAGAGAGCCCCAAAGAAGTTGGACCCAAGAAGAAACACACCAAGGCACATCATAATTACATTAGCCAAGGTAAAAAACGAAGGAGAGAATCCTAGAAGCAGCAAGAGATAAGGGGACAGTAACCTACAAAAGAGTTCCCATCAGACTGTCAGCTGATTTCTCAAAAGAGACCTTACAGGCAAGAAGGGGCTGGAAATAAATATTCCAAGTCATGAAAGACAAGGACCTACATCCCAGATTGCTCTATCCAGCAAAGCTCTCATTTAGAATGGAAGGGAAGATAAAGTGCTTTTCAGATAAGGTCAAGTTAAAGGAGTTCATCATCACCAAGCCCTTATTTTATGAAGTGCTAAAGGGACTTATCTAAGAAAAGAAGATAAAGAAAAGACATGTATAGTAAAAGGACAGCAAACACAAATATCAACAACCACACCTAAAGCAAAACCAAAAGAAACTAAGTAAACAATTAGAACAGGAACAGAACCACAGAAATGGAGGGTTAGCAGCAGGGGGGTGGGAGGAGGAGAGAGGGGGAAAAGGTATAGAGAAGAAGTAGCATAGAATGTAGGTTGAAAATAGATAGGGGGAGGGCAAGAATAGTATGGGAAATGTAGAAGCTAAAGAACTCATAAGTATGACATGTGGACATGAACTAAAGGAGGGAAACGTGGGTGGGAGGGGGGTACAGGGTGGAGGGGAGAGAAGGGGGGAAATGGGACAACTGTAATAGCATAATCAATAAAATATATTTTAAAAAAAGAAAAAAGAAAATAGACAGGGGAAGGTTAAGAATAGTATAGGAAATGGAGAAGCCCAGGAATTTGTATGACTCGTGGACATGAACTAAGCAGGGCGGGGTGGGGGATGGGAGGCGAGGAATGAAGGTGGGAGCAGGCTGCAAGGCAGAGGGGAATAAAATGGGGGAAATGGGACAACTGTAACAACATAATAAAATATAGTTTAAAAAATAAAACATTTAAAAATGTATTTCCATGTCTCATATCATCTTTTACCAAACACACATCTTATTCTCTATATGCAATCATTTTCACACTTTATCACAAGTGTTTGGACCTTAAACTGAGGCATCTTGCACCCTTCTAGTCTTGTGAAATGACATGTTAAGTCTCCAAACTTTTATGACGATTTCCCGTCTGGTGTGCTAGATCCAAAGCCAGAGAGCAGTGGACAACTCTACATCTTTATTAAACCAACATCCTTTAGCTAGTTTTTATTTACTAAAGATTAATCCCAAATCACATGCACTTGAAATACATTTGTGTTAGTTTCTGTTTTTTCTTCAGTTTGTATGAGCACTGATTTATTTTAAGCCAATTGAATAGGGCCACTTTACAATCTAAATTTGAATTTACAAATCAATTTTGGCAATACTATCTAGCAGTAGAAATAAGCCATATGTATAACAGACATACATAGACACATATAAACACAGAGACAGCATGATTATATGAAATTCAAAAAATTATGGATCCAAATATTTTCTGGCAGATGGACCAGGTTAAGGTTTTGCTCAGATAGCCCAGGTTCTGAATGTTGTCCAAATTCCTTTACAGATGTTTTTAAAATCAAAGAATGCATTCTTTTGTCTCTGAGAGGTTTCAGATTCTCTTCTTTAAAGTTCCTCCTTAAGGTGAGCTTACCAACAAACACAAACATCAAATACAAGACAAGTGTGCCCCATCGAGTTGGAAAGCTCAAAAAGTAAAGGCCTGAGTTTTGAAAGAAGGAGATTTTCCTGGAGAGGAGGATTGAAAGATGGCTCCCAAGGTGAAGCCTGAGCCTCAGATGGCCTCAGATGACCTGCCTACCTAGAGACAAGATGAGGCAGGAAAGGGAAGGTGCAGAGGGCAGGCAGTTGCCATAAGCAAACGAGGAGTGCTGCTAAGTGAGGAATCTTCTGAGGTCTTTATTAGCAAACACAGCTTCAGAGTCGCAAGTCCACCAGTCAGAGGGCAAGTTTTCCAATGACTCCCTTTTGTTCCAGTTTCCTTGGCACCAGGGTCCTTTTTAATTTATCAAAGCATTTACCCAATTTTAGAATTATTTTTTTCTAGGGGAGGCAATAATAATCTCTTTTTTTTCTTTTTTCTTTTTTTAAGATTTATTTGGTTTTTTACAGAGGGAAGGGAGGGAGAAATAGAGAGAAACATCAATGTGCGGTTGCTGGGGGTCATGGCCTGCAACCCAGGCATGTACCCTGACTGGGAATCGAACCTGTGACACTTTGGTTCACAGCCCACACTCAACCCACTGAGCTATGCCAGCCAGGGCCAATAATAGTCTCTTGATTGTATTTATAGCTCTCATCACTAGTTTAAAATAAAAAGTTCCCACTGTTTCTAGGAGGTATGGTATTTTCTTTGTTTTAATTGAGCATACAAATAAACAAGCTTTGGGGTTTCAGAGAAACCCCATTTTGGGCAGAAAAAAAACACCCTTGAGATCATCTCATGTTATTGCCCACAGGCCTAGTTAATTAAATTCTCTGGACCATAATTATGGTTCATATAATCAACCAAAGTCCCAGGCTCTCCCTATTAGCATGTGAAAATTTAGAGCATGACTTACGCATTTTGTACTCCTCCTTGTGAAACATCCTTTCGAGGGCTGGCTAGCGTGAGTGTCCTCACAAACCCTATGGGCAAGGCCTAGTCCCCAGGCCCAGACCTGGAGGATAGCTTGCCGGTACCAAAAACAACTAGACGATAGCCTTCCTAGGTACCAAGTGCTACGGAAAAAAGCCCTCCCTGGGGGACACTCTCCCAGTGCCAAACACGACTGAGGGATACCCCTCCTCAGCACCAAACCCAAATCATATGGAGGGGCCCTCTCTGTCTAAACTCATGAACTGAGGTCACCAAATGAGGGTCCCCTGTCTTAACCAAATAGAGTCTTGGACCTCAGCCACAAGTAAGGGAGGCCTTGGATCTCAGAGACTTACCTGAGACGCTCAGGTACCACTGGAAAGACAACTGGAACACTAGGGGCGTGTGCAAGTGCCAGATATATTGGTTTCAGGACAGTAGCAGGAAATCGAATAATCACTTCAGAGGCCCACTCTGGGTGTCCTGGACTGTCAGCTGATGTTCGTTGGCACCAACTCAAAGCCAACAGGAATGCCCAGGTTGGGTGCAGTGGAGAAAACTTTCTTCAGTGCAAACAGCCCAGCTGTCATACAGCACATCTGTGACAACAGCAGGGCAGTTGAATGGCTCCAGAGTGTTACAGCTCAATTATGAAGCAGCCCAGCATGACTGAACAAGCCACAGCAAGGCCCCTCTCCCGGTGCACAGCTCTACTGTGCTCTACCTACTTAGGTCTGGACCAGCCTGCTTTACTCTGCACTGCTCCTCTCTGCTCCAGTGAGACGTGTTCAGGGTTTCCCTTTGGTGTGTCAGCTCCAGCTAGAAAACACAGTCTTCCAGGGAAAGGGCCAGTGCATACCCCAAGCCAGAAGGAACCTGACTTGTAGATAAGGATAACTTCCTGGAAGAGGGAGGTGCTGCCGATGCTCATCTTGTCCATAAGGCCTTATCCTGCCCCTGAAACTTTTGCAAATGCAGACTCTAAATCCGACATTTAGCAAATAAACATTGCTCTTCCCATTGACAAATAGGCCTTGGGAAGATTTGTGAGGGAGGTGTGGGGAGGGGGGTCATGCCCTCCCTCCTGGCTTTCAGGGGACATTCAAAAGAAGCCTCCAATGGCCTTCTCCACCTAGAGCAGAAGGAGCTTGCCCAGGGACCCTGGAGTCCCAGCTGCGTCCCCGCTGGTGATGACGAGGTCACACCGCCTACCTGGACACTCAGTCACGCCTGATGTTCTTGGCCTTGAGTGCTGTGCAGGCCAACTAGGGCCGGGGCTCCAGCTGGCAGGACAGGGTGTAACTACAGGACAGAGAGGCACCTGTGAGCTCCCAGGAGCCACACCTCAGGTGTCCTTCCCGTGTCAGGTGCCCCAGGAGATGCCACAGCACAAGGTCTGGGGCTGAGCAGGGAGCCACAGACACAGGTTCTCTGGACTGGCCAGCAGGGGAGTCCACCCCCGCCCTCGCCCACATCCTGCCCGGCCTCACCTCTCCTTCTCGCTGAGCTGCTCCAGGGCCCAGAACCAGGCCCCAAATCGCTCCTTGGGCTCTATGCTGTAGAGCTGAGCAGCCTGCTGCAGGAGCACAATCTCCTCCAACACTTTGAGTTCCTGGGGCCCGAGGGAGAGGGAGAATGCAGACAGTTTTAGAGTAGGGGGTGAGGGTGGGGCAGGGGACTGCTCCTGGGCCTTTGCACACAAAGCGCCCTCCTCCCCTGAATTCCACCCAGGCCCTGCCTGTGCTCACAGATGGGCATCACCAGCCCCTCCTGCTGGAAGTTTATCCTTGATGCCATCCTGCTATGCCCAGCCACCAACTGGAGGGGTGCCCCACTTCCATTCTCAGATTCTCCCAGTAAATGCCAGATGCAAGGGATGGAGCCCAGCAGTATGCTGCCCAGGGTGTCTCTGACTCCCTCTCCCCTCCCCTGCCCCACAGGGAGTGTCATAGCTACTCACCTTCCACTTCTTTGCTAAATTTTTCACATGTCCCTGGAAGGCAGACAGCCAAAGTCCATCAGAAAGAATCCCCTAACCATGCCCGCCCCCATGCCCACACTTTCTCAGGTGAAACTAGGTCAGGTCCCAGGAGGGCCCTGGACACACTCAAACACAGGTCTAGGACTCAGGACAGGCTCTGGGGTCCAGAGGAGAGGGGACGTGGATGGATCCCTGTTATGGGCATGCTGCCCCTGCTCCTGGGGGTGGCTATGCTCTGAGCTCAGGGCTCAGGACTGAGGCGGGGCGCTCTCCTCCCCAAATATCAATCCTGGTCACCCCAGCCAGGGCCCCAGGGCACAAACCTCAGGGTAGTCTTGTATGGCAGTGTGCAGCATCCCCAGGTCACTGACATATATTCCGAGGAAGGGGACACACTGGGCAATCAGGGTGAGGGGGGTGTGAGCTCCTGCTCTCAGGTGCCCCCACAGACCCTCCCCTAACAGTCTCCCCCCCCCCCCCGTCAGCCTCCGGGCCCACCCCCAGGTTCCCACAGGCAGCAGCCCAGGACCCTTCAAGCCTCCCCTCAGTTCCCCCTTCCCTCACTCTCCAACACCAGGCTCCTCCTAATCCAATCTCAGGACCCACTTTGGGCAAATCACAGGGTCTGAGAGCCCAGGCCCAGGCCCACCCTAGGGCGACCCTGCACCCGTCTCTGCCAGGCCCTCCTTCTGGTCACTTGCTAGGGGAGGGTTTCAGGGTCTGCGGGAGCAGGAGGCGGGGCTGCAGGAGAAAGGCCTCCTTCTTTGCCCTGGAGGCCTCCAGCTGGGAGGGCAGAGCCCCCTCTCCTCTGACCCCTTGGAGCCCCCAGATGGGCTCACTCACTTTCTTCTGCGGCCTCTTCAGAGCTCCCCGGAGGTGCATCAGCAGAGTGGCAAACCTGGAGGGCCGATTCTGCCAAGGTCAGGACAGGGTCACTGAGATCATACTGCCCTCACCCCATGTCACCCCAAAACTCCTCACCCCAGACCCTGAACAACTGACCCGAGTCGGCTGGTACCGATGCTGCTCTGCCCCAGCATGCTCTGATTCCAGAACACTCCCAGCCACGACCCTCACTCGGTGTGGGACCTGGGGCCCAGGGCCTGGCCTCCCTGAGCCCATTTCAACCTCTGGAAAGGGTGAGAGCTCCACCCAGCTCAGGGGCTCTCTTGAGGACTCAGGGTCGTACTCCTGTTGGTGTTGTTCTGGCCCTCCACCCTCGGGGTGGACCGGGGCAGAGAGCTCTGCACAGCCCTTTCCTGCCTTGACATTCATGACCACCCTGGGAGGCCTGCAGTGCAGGATGGTCACCCCCCATTTCACTCCTGAGGACACAGGGACCAACAGGGGACAGTGACGGGCTCAGAGGCCCACAGAGGAGAGGCCTCCTGTGCCTCCCAGCCAGAGGCTTTGTCCCACCTGCCCTCACCTCACCCCCAGCGTCCCAGAGCCCTGTCCTCAGGGCTCTCAGGTTGTGCCCACACCCACATCTGGGCCGAGCCCGGGGTGCACAGGTGTCCCAGGATCCTGGTTGAGCACATCCTGCCTGCCCTGCCCCACTGGTTCTGTGCCCACCAGGCTGCGACTGAGGCCATGCCGGCCTCCACCCGCCCCCCCAGGGAGCCCAGGACCCTCCCCTGCACAGCAGTCTCCTGCATCCACTCAGGACGGCACCCTGAAGATCCCCCAGTGTCTGGCAGGGTAGGGGTGACAGGACACCTTGAGTGGTCCTTGACAGGAAGCTACTGAGGTCTGTTCAAGGAAGGATGCACTGAGAATCCGTCAGTGCCCCAGACACCTCGCAGATGCCATCCGGCCTGTGTTGCCACCCCCTGGGCGCTGGGGGAGAACCCTGACTCTGACTGACTAGCAGTGAGAGCTCCAGGGCACAGCGGGGAGTCACAGAGTGCACTCCTCTCCGTCTCTGGTCCTGCAGTCGGGACTGAGGCCCAGCAGCCCTTTGGTGCACCTGGAGGGCTGGAATCCCTGCAGTGCCCGTCCCCGGGGCAGGCGGGGTGCCCTCCTCTTGGAGATGTGGTGAAGACTGAAGGAGCCCCAGGGATTTGGCTTCCTGAGGACACGCTGGGCTGGTTTAGGGAAGAAGGGACCCCATCCACCCATCCACCCAACAGCCTGGACGGCCCAGCAGCCCGGAAGCCAGAGACCCACTCAGTCTGCCAGGCCGGCACCCCTGTGCTGGAGCTGCCCAGCCTCCACCAGTTCATGCTGTGACCCGGGCCTCCTGCCCCTTACACTGCCCCCACCTGCCCATGGACCACACAGCTCCCTCCTTCTGTTAATCAGATGCATAGCAGGGCCATTTTCAGAGAATCTTGAAGTGACAAAGTAGCAAAAAACCCTCATCCCGCACAGTCCACCCCCTCACACCCTGCTCCCTTCCCACACCTCCAGCCCGGGCTCTATGTTCCTGAGCTGCTTGGTGGTCATCCCATCCACGTCTTGAAAGAGTTTTCTCAGTATAACTGAGCTCCTCCTGAGGGTGTGGTAGAGGGAAAGACATGTTGAGGAAGAACTGGGGATGGGAGTTAAGGGCAAATTCCTTTTGACAATCTAAGGTTTTAAACTCCCTGGTGAGGGTTTTCCCTGGGTCCTGTGAGCAGGGAGGTCTTTGGGGGACTGGGGCAGGGCCCCCTATGGGCCACCTGGCCTTCCATTCCCATTTCTGTTGAGCAGCTCTGCTTTGACAAGGTTTGGGTCAACTGGGCACAGGATCATGTTGCTAGAAACACTTGAAACTCTCCAGGTGTTTCTTGCTCTGTCTGTCACCCTGAGGTGCCAGGGAAGCTCAGAGACCTCACCCAACCACCCAGTCCGTGTCAGCAGGGTGGGCTCCTCCCAGGAGGTGGCAGCTGCTGAGGGGACATTGGGAGACATATGGGAGGCACCTCACCATCTGTCCTCTCATGGGGAGGGGCCTACATACCAGGACACTTTCTCCCAGGTCTTTTTTAGCCGATAGAGTGGCACGCTCCTGAAGGCCAATACTATTGCGTGCAGTGAAGCCATGTTCCCCAGGGTCTTGCACTCCGGGGGAGGGAAGAGATGAGCTGTGAGATGGGGGCTGGATTTCTCCCTTCAGTGCCCCCCAGGGACAGCCCTCCTGGGTGGGACAGATGCTCAGGGTGGGCACCTTTAGGCTTCAAATGCCAACACTCACTGAGAGGAGGATCTTAGCTCAGCCCAGGGAAGGAGCCAGCTAGGAAGTGAGCCTCCCACCCCGGGACCTGAGAGTCAGGTCAGCATTCCCCTGACACTAAGGACCTAGTAAGTGTGCTGGGGCTCAGACCTCAGACCTCAACCCTGAGAGCTGGTCCAGCAGGAGAGGCACTTTCTAAGGCTCGGGAAAGGCGCTCTGCTGGGCCTCCCATCACATACCTGGGCCACCTTGATCCAGTGCTCCACCACTTTGGCCCTGTCCCTGGCCTTCATGCTTGGGTCCCCCAGGCAGGTGGTGACCACACAGGAGACCAGAGAGTTATACTGACTGATGGTGGCACTGACAGTGTCTTCCAGGCTTGTTCTTCGGGGGACAGACAGAGCGCAGGCACTGGTGGGGTAGCACCTGCTTGAATAGCTCCTGAGGAGAAAGGGGAGTGTCACCCAGCCCTGCCACATGCCAGCTCAGTGTCCCCAATCCCCTGCAGTAGCAGGTTGGTGTTACTGGTCAGACCTAGAGCTATGGAAGCTGAGGGTGTGACCTGAGCCTTCTGGGAGCCTTTACAACTTATTCTCTGTCCACCGAGGGCACCCATCAGTGGATGACCCAGGCCCCAAGGCTGGTGGAAAAGGGACAGGAACGTCTTCCCCAGCCCATCCTCAGTAACTTCAAGCTCCAGGATGCAGCTCAAGTCTGCTCATCCCAAGGGGATATCTTCCAGGATCCTGATCATTTGTCTGGTCTGAATCCCCACTCAGTGTACATTCCCCTGTGCCAACTACAACCACAGGCTTTGTTTGTTTGTCTTCCTTGTAATTAAGTACACATCAGGTGCCTAATAAGTGCTGATGGATGGGCGACCCACATACCTGGCTGCCCACAGTAAGTTCCCCTCCTCACCTAATGGGCCATGACCCACCCAGCTTTCTGTGTGATGCTACACTCTGTGCAGCAGGTCCAGTGAGTGCCCACCACCACTGGCAACAGGGTCAAGTGAGATGGATGTGGAGAAAAGCAGGCAGAGCAGGATGGGTCTGTGGTTTGGAAGGGGCTCTAGAGCACAACTCGTCCCAGCCTCCCTCTGGTTCTAAGAGAACCAGGACCCCATCCACAATTCTCCTTGAGTCCTGTCCTCCTGGAGTGGAAGCCACCAGAGCTCAGCCCACCCTTGGGAATCAGCAGACCTGTAAGATCACAGTTCTGCCAGGCCCTGTCCAACTACAGTCCCCACTTTGCACAATCAGGAGGCCCTCCTTCTGGACCCCAAGGCCACTCACTGTTTCATCTGGTCATGTGGGGTGTCTCCCTGGTCATTATAAGGAGGTAGGCCTCCAGATGTCGAGAAGACCTGTATGCAGTCAGGTCTGGATGGTGGAAAGGACCTGCAAATGATGTCTAGTGTGACTGTCTCATTCACTCACTACAAGTGAGGCTGAGGGATCGTGTCTGCTCCATTCATTCATTCAGTTACACTGTCTTCAAATGTGCCTGCTGGGTGTCAGCACTTAAAACACATTGCCAAGCATATGAAGTTTGACCAGAACCATCCCAGAGGTCTGCGTGGGCCTGGGGCCCCTTGCTACCCCAGAGAACCCTAATCTGGCTACACCAGAGACAAGGACAAAGATCAGCTAAGTGGATTCCAAACTCCTTCACAGATTGTTTTCCACGTGCCTTTCCAAACTCAGAAATGCCACAGGACACTGATGGGCGAGGCTGGTGACATTTCATGCAGGGGAGAAAAGTAAGTGCCATGAACAACCACAGGGTGTCCAGCCCTTTGTGCAGAGCCGGGCAGCTGCTAGGACCTGCCAAGGCTGGTCTCCAATGTAGTCACTTCAAACTCCTGTGGGGTTTATCCTCTACCACCCCAGCTTTCAGAGGAGCACACTGAGGCTCAGACAGACTTGGGGACCTTTTCAAGACACAAAGCTAGCGGTGGGCAGAGTCAGCACTGTGCCAAAGAGGGGGCATGGGTTCACCCAGTAAGCAGCAGGTCCAGGAAGCACTGGGCTGTGGAGAAGGCCGGGTGGGTGGACACGAAGGTGGAGATGTGGTGGGTGTATCCACCCAGGAAAGCCGGTACCACGAGCGCTGTCACCTTCTCAAGGATGCCTCCCTGGAGGGCCTGCATCCTGCAGGCCTCCTGCAGGTCACCAGTTAACTCTGGTGCATGCTGAGTGGGACAAAGGAGGGACACACAGTCAGCAGCATCACCGTGAATCACCAGGAGGACTGAGGTCTGTCTCAAGCTCACCCAGGGACTCCCGGGCTCTCAGGGACATGAAACGAGGAGGGACAGGAGTGCCCTTGCTGAACAGTTCTAGGTTTTAATTTATCTACTTTTTTTTTTTTTTTTTGCTTTGAGAGAGACGGTGGGAGGAAAGGAGAAAGAAGGAGAGAAACACCAGTGTACGAGAGACATCCATCAGCTACCTCTCCCACACCCCAGCTAGGGTCTGGCCTGCAACCCAGGCATGTGCCCTGGGGGTCAAACCAGGGCCTTTTGGTTCTCAGGTCCACACTTAGCCCACTCAGCCTCACTAGCAAGGGCACAGCTTCTAGATTTTAAAAGTACCATTTACATTTGGTGAGGTGTATTTATACGATTGTTACCTTCTAGGCATGAGCTAAAGCTCAGGAACATCAGATCTCCCTGTATTAATACTCTGTATTAAGAACAATGTCCCTGCAAGTCCTCAACAGACATTTCCATCACAGAGATGAGAACACAGAGGCTTCAGGATGTCACGTGGCTTCTCAGGGTCCTGCAGGTCAGAACTGGGAACAGTCCTGCGTGATGTTCCCTCCAGCTCCCTCAGACGTCCGGCGTGGATGGAGAGTGTTTGGGGAAGCTTGCCCCTCCCCAGTTTAGACATAGTGCACAGGGTAGACATGGCCCATGAAAGGCAGAGACTTCAAAACAGACACTTAATTTCTCCTCCATTGACTTGAAAGGTGTTTGAGACCCTCACTGTAAAGGTCCCAGATTCCACAAAGGGGGAAATGCCTGGAGACTGCAGACTGGACAGAGCCAATCACAGGCAGGCATCTGGGCAGCAGCCTCAGGAAGGAGCAATCCATGTGGCAGATGAAAACCTGAGAGGTGACTCCAAGTACCAGGGAGGGGATTACAAATCAAGGAACGCTGGGATTGCCTTGGACAGCTTGGCATCAGATGGGTCAAAACGCACAAGAATGAGAAATCCCCGGGGCCAGGATGGGCACAAGGCAGCAGCTATCATCAGAAACTGCTGTTGGCACTGTCCCTGCTACAGCCTTTTTCCATTTGGAATCTGTCTGCATCTGTTAAATTTTACATGTGCACGTCCTTCCACCAACAGTCCCATCCCTGGGCACATATCTCCACCTGGGGACAGTATATACGATGGCCTGAATTGTGTCACTCAAATTTAATGACTTTGTAACCCCTAGAATTGAAGAACATTACTGTTCTGGACTCATGGTCTTTAAGGAAGTATTATAGTTAAGTTCCCTGGGGTGGGTCCTAATCCAATATGACTGGTGTCCTTTGAAGAGGAGGGAGAACACATGTGGCACAGAGATGGCAGACAGCCATCTACAACCAAGTAGAGACCCCTCTGGAGAAAGCAGCCCAGCCAGCCCACTCATCTCTAATGTTTAGCCTCCAGAACTGTGTGAAAATGAATGTGTGCTTCACAGCAGAGAACAGGCACATCTGCATTTTGCTGTTTTGTTGTGTTAACTACCCGGCCCAGGGATCCCAGGGAGCAGCCAGCCAGCTCCACTGTCAGAGCTCCCACAGGACATCATCCAGGAGATGGTCAATGGGTTCAACTGCCCCACCTCCCCCGGCAAGGGGGAGGTGCCACCTGACATGGCCCCGGGTCACAGCAGCTTGAGCAAACTGACACAGTCCCCTCAAACACACTCCAGTGTTTCTCGCAGCACTGCTGAAATGGCACCTGGATTGAATTACATCGAGGTCCAAGAGCACTGAAAGAAAGAAAGGCTCAGCCAATCTTATGGAATATAATGTCCTCCTTCATGGAAATATTAGGAACACAAGTGAGGCCACAGCTCCTGACATGGCAAGGCCTTGTGTTGTGTAGATGACGAGCAGCAGGGAACCATATAGAAGAGCTTCCTCCCACCCTCCCCTCGTGCATGTGTAAACCATGACGACACGTGTGAGGATGTACAGGCTTGGAGACGGTCTGCAAGGACAGTGGAGCTGGCTGCTTCCCAGCATCCCTGGGCCGGGTCCTTAAGACAGGAAACAGCAAAATGCAGATGTGCTCGTGCTCTGCTGTGAGGGAAACAATGCACCTTTTTCTCTAATATTCCTACAGTTACTCTAGGAGTGTCTCTACCACACGTAGAGCTGGTGGGAGGAGTGGAGGTTCAGATTGCATGTGCATGGGACTGTGGGAAAGCTCTCAAGGCCCCCAGGGGGGTCTCCAGATTTGATCTGGGCTCTTGGCATTTTAAGGTCATGGGTGTGGAGACCCCTTGGGCCAGCTCTCACCTCAGTGCAGTACAAGATGATGCTGGTGGCCTGGAGCCCCTTCCCCTTGCCCAGGAATGTGGGGTAGTTGAACCCGATGACCACCTCCTGGATGATGTCCTGGGGGAGCTCTAAAAAACAGAGCCCAGTACTGGTCCAGGAGGCATCGGGGACCATCCACACAATCTGTGGTCCCTTGTTACGGCAGACCAAACAAACTAGTGCACAGTCCACCAGGAACATGGCGGAACATCCCCTGCAGCACCGCCAAGATGGCAGCAGAACTGAATCTTGTCAAGGTCCAACAGCAGTGAAAGGCTGAATCACTGAGGAAAATTACCTCCTTCATGGGATAGTATGGAGATGAGTAAGGCCACCACTCCTCACCTGGCCGGCCTCTGATGGTTTGCTATGCTCTGTTAGATGACAAGTTGCAGATAAATGTATCCAATAACTTAATCCCACCCCATTTTCTATATAAACCACCCTATCAAGTGTGATGATGTGTAAGCCTTGGAGAAGGTCTGCAAGGACATGGAGCTGACTGGTCCACAGCATACCTGGGCATGTTAAACAGTCTAAACTAGCAAAATGCAAAGGATCATAAAGGTTTTTCTCTTCTATTCCAACAAATATGTGAAGAGTCTATATTTCTACCCTACCAGGAACCATGTTATGGATGTATCCCTGCTTCCCACAATATTTTTAATTACAGCTAATTTCCCGGAGCTGCCCAGATGTTGCAGTCACCCTGACACCCATCTGGAAGGACATGTCCTGGACGTCCCTTGGGGGCTGGAGCTCAGACAGCCCTCCAGGGCACAGGAAACTTCCTCATCAGCTCTGGGGGCCTGGGGTGGACTACATTGCAGCTGGGTCTGCACCTGAGGACCCGGGAGAAGGTGGAAGTCCATGACAGCCCTGACAGGCCTGGTTCTTTGGGGTGTTAGAAGTGTGATCTGGAGAAAGCCCAGACCCGGCATCAATCAGCTACAGGACCTCTGTCCCCAAGAATCAAAGATGCAGCCCCAGATCTCAGGAGAATGCACCTTCTCCTTGGCAGTTTGATGGAGTGTGACCCAGGGATCCCAGCTGAGGTCTTTGGGGAAAGAAGCCCAGTAAGTGATTCACCTGTTCTGGGACCTGCCCCACTTGCTGACTTTCAGGGCAGTGAGTCAGGGGACAATTAAGCTGCAGAACAGAGACAAACCCAGTCAGAACATCCAAAAGTTAATCAAGTGGCCCCTTCTCCCAAGCTTCAAAACGCACAGGCACCTTGGGCCCACATACTCCTCACACACACTCTGTCACTGAACCCCAAATGGTGGCTGCTGGTAAGATAACTTAGCACTGGCCCACATTACCCTAATCCCACCAAGCCCCTTCCATGAACACATCTGAAGACCGCAGGACAGCATGTGTCCACTGTGATGGGACAGACGTGATTCCTCACACAGACTGCAGAGCCCTCTTTGCGGGAGTTGCTGGCCCTCTCCTTTGTGGGCTGTGAAGTAGTAAGTGGTCATGCTGGGGAGCCCTCAGGGCAAGGAGATACCTGTGGCCTCTTGGAGCTGAGGGCAGCCTGCAGGGAACTGAATTCTGCCCACAACTGGAGGGTCTTCTCTCCTTCCCTTACAGGCCCTCAGAGGAGACCACAACCTCAGCCAAAAACCCTTGTGAGACCTGAATCAGAGGAACTGCTTATGCCACGGCCTGTTCCCGCCTGTAGATGCTGTCCAATAGTCATGAATGTGTATCGTCACTAGGTTAGCGATAGTAGCGCTCCACAGCAAGAAATGACTAACACACATCCTTTATGAAACCAGGTTCTGAGTCTTTAGTTGACTTACAGAGGAAACTTGATATTGGAGAGGAATGCTCATCTGTAATACAATTTCCTGAAAATGAAAGGTATACATTTCCATGATGGGAGACAGTTCTCCAGGGGTGCCTCACAGTTCTGCTTGTCTTGAAGGGGGGCACTGCCTGCCCCTGTTCCTTTGTGTGTAGGAAGCATCCTTAAAAGACAGTGTCTGCCTCTGCAGCAGAGGGCAGGCTGTCTTATGGCCTCAAAAGATAGAGATGGTTTCTCCAGTTCAGCAAAGGGCAGACATTGTTACTGCCCATTTCTAAGCTCACTGCTCCTTTGCTGTGATGCCATCCAGCGTGTACACAGATGGTGTCTGGCCTTCACATCACCCTGTGAGAATCGGGGCTCAGAGAACTGGCACCAAAATGATGACACTCTACTCTACGACATGACTAATAAATTCTCCTTTCTCTCTGACTGGAATGGAGCAGGAAGAAAGGAGCAAGCAAAGGAAAGAAAGAAAAGACAATTCTGGAGGCCAGGGCAGGTGTAATCAAGGACTGGGTTGCCTGCTTACCAGTGGGCAAACCTGAATCCAAGGCCCAGCCCTGGTCAAAGATAAGACACAGAACTTCTCAAGAAGGCAGGGCTGGCCCATGCCCACAGCCTTGTTATCACAGCAAGGCAGGCTGAAGGAGAGACTGTGGGCTGCTCATTTCTGTTTCATAGCTTCATGCCAGCAAGGATCTCTAACTGGTGTACCTTGGGATCACATATGCCAACTGCCATTAGTGGCTCCATCTCTGAATCCAAGATGGCATACGCAACCTTCCTCATCCTGGGCCACAGGGTGAAGCTCCAAGTCCCTGGCCACAGTTCAGGGAGAAGAGCCTGATCTAAGTTGGGCAAAACAGACTCATCCAGTCTGTAAACAAGAGCTCAGTGTGAGCCTGGGGCTGCTGATGACATAGTGAGAAATCGCTTCACATCGTTGTTTGAGTCCCTGGATCCGGCCAAGATACCTCGTCAGTTATGGGAAACAACACATTCCGCTGAGTTAAGATATTTCCGTTAAGAGTTCTGCAGCTTACAGCTGTGATTGCTCTGCCAGTGCTGTGGGATTCCAGGCCCTCCCAGGCAGGATGCACCCAATCCCCTCCAGGGCATGTCACCTTTGCTCAAACACCAACTCAGTGTTCCCCAAAGACTGTCCCTTTCTTTTCTGCTCTCACACCACTGATGACACTATTCTCTCATGAAAGCCTACCCACTCCTCAAAGCCAAAATTATGTCTCTCTTCCTTCAGGAAGCCTTCCTGGACCATTAGTTTCAAGGGGCATCGAGTGCCACATGTCAGGTTTCTGCCTTGTCAGGTTTCCCTTCTCCTGACAGCGGGACTGGAAGGCCCCGAAGGGCAAGAACTATGTACCTTATTACCCACCTGCTCTACAAACACATGTTCAATATGTTTGATGAATAAGAAAGCATGAGAAAGCATGATCCCCTGGCCATAATGAACTTATAAAGTAAAAAACAAGAAAGACATAAAGCCTGTCGACAGACTAGAAATTGTGTGTTTGAGTTCAAGGATGCACACATGCGAATTTCCCTCACCACTCTTACTAAAGCACAGGGAGGCAAACGGGAAAGATAAATATAGAACATCCTACCCCTTATTAAAACAAAACCTACCCTCCACCTCAAGTTTATTCCAGAAGGAAACCCTCCACCAATAGCAGTTGCACTAGAAAGCTAAGTGAGAGAACCCCAAGAGTAAGGTCAAACCAAGGGGAGAACTGGGTCACAGGGTGTAGCCAGACATTGCCATGAAGTGGTCCTTCCCAGAGCTAGCTGCGATTTTGCTACAGAGGAAGGAAGGGAGAAAGCTTCTAAACAGGGTTGCCTGCCTGCCCTGCCCTGCCCCTTTGGGCCCCATTTTCATAGAGCCCTACAGCCTTGAACAAGGTGGAACCAGACATCTCTCTGAAAGAGAGATGTTCTTTCATTAGCAAACTCTTGAGAACATGGTTGGACTCAGGGGCCTCTATCCCTTCTACTGCCCTTCACATCCTGCCACTTCTCATGCCAAGCCCTTCTCAGCCTGAGGCACTGGCTCCACTTTCCATCTCCTGACAGGTCAGCACGGACTGAGGCTACTGGGTTCCTCGCTGCAACACCTGTGGAGACACCAGGCCCTGGGGCCAACTGTGACCACTCTCTTCTTCTCCTTGTACCAGGTTCCAGGACTCCACACTGTCTCCCACCCTTTCCCAGAAAGAAGACTCTTTCTGGGAAAGAGTCTTCCCAGGCCCTCAGAATCTTTCACCAGCACCAGGCTGACCCTCCTCACATTTCACCAGTCATTAGAAAAATTTGGTCCTTCCTTTTTCTTCTCAGAAAATTTCCAAGGCTCCCCACTTTTAGTGCCTTCAACAGGCCCCACCCCTCACTAACTTCTGCTCTCACCACATCCTGGTCACCAGTTGTGCTTTGATTCTGCTAGCCCCTCCACAGGAATTACCCACCTCCAAACTCTCACTTTGAGCCCAGCTCCAGCTGCCGCATAAAACTTTTGGTACTCGCTCAGGGCAGAACCCCTCTCCCAGCTGTCCACCAGACCACTCAGTTCATGCTGCCTCTCCATGGACAAGTCCATCTCCAGAACTGAGAATATAGAGCCCTTGGAGATGGGACCCTGAGGGTAGTCGTTTCTCTCACGGTGCCTCACATGCTTTGCACAAAACACAAGGCACCTTTTATAAACATCTGGAAAGAAACGAGTTTCTTTTCCCCAGGAAACACTGAATGGCAGATGATGCCAGTGCTGCGGGAGGGCCCAGAGGCCCCGAGGGGCCCTGGGATGGGAGGCTGCTGTGGCTGCTGTGGATTCGGCAGCAGCATCCAGGGCCAAAGCTGTGGCCAGGGTCAGGGTTGGGGTCGGGGCTGAGGAGCTCGTGGAGGCAAGGACAAGGACAAATAGTGGATCTCTGTCACCAAGTTGGGCCACCTGATCAAGGACATGAAAATTAACTAACCAAAGGAGATCTATATCTTTCCTCTGCCCATCAAGGAATCTGAGATCATTGACTTTTTCTTGGGAGCATCCCTCAAAGACAAGGTTCTTGAGATTATTACTGTGCAAAAGCAGACACATGCAGGACAATGGACTCAGTTCAAGGCATTTGTCACCATTGGGGACTACAAAGGACACATTGATCTGGGTGTTAAGTGCTCAAAGGAAGTAGCCACTGCCATCCGTGAGGCCATCATCCTGGCTAAGGTCTCTATTGTCCCTGTGCAGTGAGGCTACTGAGGCAACAAGGTCAGCAAGCCCCACACCGTCTCTTGTAAGGTGACTGGGCACTGTGCTGGTGCACCTCATCCCTGCACCCAGGAGCACTGGCATCGTCTCAATCCCTGTGCCCAAGCTGCTGCTGCTGATGGCTGGTATTGACCTGCTACACCTCAGCCAGGGGCTGCACTGCCGCCCTGGGCAACTTTGCCAAGGCCACCTTTGATGCTATCTCTAAGACCCTTGGCTATCTCAGTCCCGGCCTCTGAAAAAAGACATTCATCAAGCATCCCTATCAGGAATTCCTGACCATCTTGTAAAGTCCCACCTCGGAGTGTCTGTGCCGAGGACCCAGGCTCCAGATGTGACCACTACATAATTTTCCACAAGGAAAATAAAGTGAATTAAGCCTATCAACATAAAAGAGAGAACACATTCCTAGCTCCCAAGATCCAGGAACTTACGACCCAGGAACTTAAAAGAAAAAATAAACAGGCTGTTCCTCAAAAGGGGTTCTAAGATCTCTTACTGTGCTGTACTTTTTGAGGCCCAGCATGTCCACTGAATGTA